GATGGCTTAGTTATTTGACCAATGAGTAACTTTTTAAAAACTTTTACAAGACATCAAAAATAAAAAGCTTTTGGAAAATGAGAATATCACCATATCCGAGACGTAATGGGCCTTTAATGAGACACTGATCTATTTTCGTTAACAACATTGCATCACGATATAAAAGAAGCTATCTAGCTCGAATGATGTATTACCACGTACTATAAATGTTTCGTTGATATCACCAGTATGATTGCTTTGATTTATTATAATTTTATCACCTTATAAATCAAAGGTGATTCAGAAAGTATAAATCAATATAGAAACTAGCGTCGAATAACGTTGATTGACGTTTTAACAGGAACAAAGATAGTTTGATACAGGTTAAGCTGATGGCTTGTCATTACTGTTAGATTTTCCGTAAGGTTAAATTGTTACAGATTTGATAAGGTCAATGAAATTTCATTATAAGGAGTAACTATATAGTCTTAATATTTACCGGTATTGTATGTACTGTACATTTTTTTTACTTATACCTTTTTCTTTATTTGTCTCTTTTGATAATACTACGTATAACTTGTTTGCCTGACATGTAGCATTGATGTAGTCACAGTGTGACGGATGCTTGTATAACATATGATTAAAATGAATATAAACATTTGATATATTTCTCTGAAATAAGAAAGAAACGTCGTATTCATTTACATTAATCTTTAGAAATTACGGCCCTAAGTTTCATATGGTCAAACATGCTCCAGGGGTATTAGTTTATGTTTATAGATCTAGAGACAACAGTTAAACTTTTCGAATTATTTAAGTTAACCAAGATTCCTTATTGTTGCTGCCTATTTAACCGCTCAATTATTGAAATATTTTTAAATTAATAATGGATTCTATCAGTATTCTACAAATTCATGGAAAATTTAATAAAATGGAAACTGTAATGGTTCCCAAATATGGCAAAATTGAAAAGATTGCATGCTCACTTTCTTTAAGCCTGTTCAAAAATAGAAGTGGTGAACAAGTGGTATTATCCATGCCCCCTAGCACCGGCTTAAGCATACCTTAATACTATTTTCTCTTTTTCTTTTCTGTCAAAAATTGACCAAGTTTGATAGACATTTTCAGAATGTTTTCAGAATGTACAAACATTGTTATTTGAAGAGAAAAAAAGACAATATGATATAACGTTGTATTTAGCATTCACTTGACAGACACTTCCCGACAATCTATCACTTTTTGTAATCCTTGTGATACGTGAGCTGTTCATCAACCTTGTAGAATTATACTCTACGAAAAAAACATCACTGTCATACAATAAGAGAAACATTGTTAAAATACTTGTTTCAGCATACATGTCACATTCTTTCCTGTCTTATTCATTAACATCAAAGTAAAAACGTGTAAGGTTTTTATACAAATTAACCTGAAATTGTCCAAAAGTACATAAACATAGTTACGTGCATCTTAGACAGGACTGATTTTGAGCAATTGTGAATCCAAGGGGAATTTTATAGTACTGGTGGTATTTAAGCTTTTAGCTCATCTCATTTAAACCTGAAATCGAGACAGATTGATATACAATACATGCATTAAATATCGATTAATAATCAATACATTTTTATAAAAATGTTTTTAAACATGAAACTATAATCGCCCATATCTACCTGTCACGTGATCAATAATTTGCTGTTATTTCAAAAAGTTAAATTCCTAGATACTGTTTTTATACAAGTTTATTTAAGTTTCGAATATGTGAAGGAAGCTATAAGCTTATAGACAAACCCTCTCGAATCCGCTTCAGTACTTAGAAATGAGTGCAAGGAAACAACGGTTTGCCCTTAAGGGAGTTTGAACCCAAGCGGGTAGCGATCCTTAGTTTTCTAGTCTGACACGTTTATCAATCGGTCATGCTGCCACATTTTACACCCTACACTGAATCATTTGGTTTGTTTTTACATTTTTCTTTATAACCATATAGGCAGTTTGTTTGCAAGGAGTAAAATGCTTCGAATCCCGTTCCATGTATTTGAAAAATTGTTTTTGTACAAAGATAGAAGCATTACTAGTATCATAGCTAAAATTATTTTCTCTTCCAACTTCTTCTCATACATCACTTATATAAGTGGTGGAGATAAATGAAACTTCACTCGTTTTTTAACGAAATTATCAACATACACAGAACTGAACATAATCTTTATTAAAAAAAGCACAGATTATTATGTTACATTTTATAATAACATGTGCGCAAAACATATGGGATACCAGTTTTTCAAGTGTCTTGTGGGGAGAGTGGAGTTGAATGATCCTAAGATTTGAAATCGCCAGATGTGATCCATAAAACAAAAAACAAATGCTCTTAAAGTGACATTATGCTTATTTTTCGCTGTCATGTTAAGTTGAATTAGTAATATATTTCAAAAGGATGGATAATTGATACTTTTTGTCGTCGTAAAATATAAAATTGAACAGAATTATGGCAAAATTGCAAATTATTTTAATCTAACCTGTTCACTGACCATTCACACTTGGATGGTAATAATGTCACTTTAATTGAATTAGCTTTAAAGAAAAACATAATTGTGGTAATGGCGAAGAAAGTCGGAAATACTGAAGTTTCAAATTAACAACAGTGTTACAACTTTTATAAATACGAGAGCAAATTGGCGTCCTGTCCTAATGGTTTACTGATGGTGACTTTATAAAAACACTTTACTATAATAAAGAATATATGTAAATAAGGCACGTTTACATATACTTTTAAGTGACAATTGACATTAATTACATTTTACGACAATTGTTATGACGTCATTTAAATATTTTAAGTAACTGAAAGGATAGTTTTTATAGGCAATGCAAACAATGAATATGCCGCAAATATATCAAGTATATTTTCGTATTTAAAGTTTCAAAGGTTTGTTTGTACATTATTTAGGTCTACTTGTCCGGCTAATATCGTTTGAATTGATAAAGTTTAATCTTATTTAACAAATTCTAAAGTGTATCTGTTCTGAACCACATTTAACACAACTAAAGCTTCGTATTAGAAATATAGGCATAGAATGTTTGCAATTTGTACAAGATTTAACCTTAATTTCGTCACATTTCCTTCCTTTCTCTCCCGAATAATCAAATATTACCGCTTTTTTCCCTGAGCCCCAAAAATAAGAATTCGAACCCCTTTTTGGGAAGGGCTTAATCTAATGTTGTAAGAACTTGTGGCCCAACCCATTTGCATTTTGATATATAATACTCATTATTTGTATGATATGTTTGTAAACATGTATTTAATGTAATAACATATGTTTAAACTAACTAAACTAACCCCTAAAATGCTATGCTTACCTATAATTCTTCGTAATAATTAGCTTTTTACCCCAAAGGTTATTGGTGCTAAATGTTATTGCGGAAATAGTGTTTTACGGAGCTTACCAGGCTTATTCAGAAAGTAGATTCTGCTTTTTAGAAATTCTGTACCTAATGAAAATGAAATAAGAAAATGTTACAAAATTATGAAAACACCGAACAACACTGATTTAGTGCGATTCTAATGCTTTATATTTAAAACTTCCCATTGTTTATCTAAAGGTGCACGCCTACAGATGAGCAAAAAATCAAACATGCATCAATTTGTATAAATACAAATATCCACAATGTATATCACATGCAAAATGTAAAATGGCCCAGTTTGATTATCTAAAGGGGAAAGTGCTATGACATAACTATTATTTTAAAAATATTTTATTACACATCAGTATTGTTGTTATTAAAATAACTTTATTTTCTTTAAATAAAGATAACATGAATTTCGATGCGTGTTACTTTAAGGGATTTCAATATTGAGCATGTAATATTATCAGTCCTGACACTGGCATGGACCGTGCAAACTTAAATAGCTCTATAGTAGTACAACCACTGTCCGTGGCCTTCTGACTGACATATTAATTCAACCGATGCTTTAATGCATATATTTGACATTCATGATTGTCTCTTTCATAAACAGGTGTGGTTGTTTATTTGGTTTATTTGCCCTACTTACGATAATTACCATATTGTACAATGCCGATCGTCAGCTCGTTAAAGTCCGACAACTGTCGTTACTTTCCGTGTCATATAAATGACCCATCAACAGAACGTTTTCTGCATATATATGACACGGAAATGATAATTTTTCCGAATCTATACGATTTATTAATGTATTTTTATATATAATAACACTAAGACAATTTTTTCCGACCTCTATATGGCCTATTTGTCGAGCCCCTCACCAATTGCTCAGTTTATCATAATTTTGACAATTGAAAACCATAGTAAAATATTGCTGATAAAATTGATTTTCAGTTTGATAATTTTGATAATAAATTTAGAATAAGCTTTTATTTTCTCATTGTATGTGTCAAAAACCACTCGTTTAACAAAAACCACGACCATTACTTTTCTTTTAATTTTTGATCACAGTGTTTATACCTCTAAATACAGACCACTTGTCTCTATAAACACCACAAAGTATATCTCTATAATTAATAGATGGACTTTAATTACATGTTTGACTGTACTCTTGTAGATGAGCTATGCGTGAATATGAATTTTAGTATCCTAGTTTAATATGATGTTTCTTGCTGCTTGAGAACAATAATTAATTTGTTAGATACTACTCGTATTATAAATAAAATATCTTAAATGGTGTCGAATTGTTACTAATACAAATGTTTATTTGTAAAATATAGTACATGTTTCAAATCGAGGTCAATTATTGAAGAATTGTTATCCACAGGTTTTAAACTACCTAATTGTAAGAACATCAGGCAGGTCTTTATATAAACGCCTGCTAAATCATACAATAAGTACGATAATGTAGCGTCCATCGTGTATACGACAAATATCAATAGATGGACTATTTATTGTGTGCATAGCGGAGATATAGAGGGGTCACTTTATTTAAGTTTAAGTTTAACATTTTAAACGCTACCTTTAAGAAAACACTTTAAACAAAGTTTAAAATACATTCATACATTTTTCAGGGAAACAAGTTTGAGGTGGAATTTTAAAACAGCTCAAGGAATCCGTCCACTATGGCGGATATTATCCACAAAATATTCGGCAAGCAGCATAGTCATCATGGAAAACATACTGATTCCACCAAAAAAGATGATAAAGAAAAAGATTCAGGGGCGGCGGAAGGATACACAAAACAACAAATGGACTTCTGTGAGTAAATTTTTGTCACTGCATGTAGTTAATCATTAAAATGCCCAGTGTTCTTATGGTATTGTTGACCAAAATCTGATGCCATGTCATGTCCAACGACATTCAAATAGTACTTTACGGTACTTGTCTCATATTTCAAATACTATCAAGATCTGCACTTACCTAATTTAAGAGAGGTATTTATTTATGTTAATGAGGACGGTAATGTTAATTGGAACGATAATGTTTACTTTTTTAGAACAGAAAATGATGATATTTATGAAACTGGTAAAGTTATGTTGATATTTATAAGACATCTGTTGATGTATATGATAATTGAAATGTTTATAAGATTTGTGATGTATCTTGGAATGGTGATGTTTATGAGAATATTGATGTTTATGAGAATTGTGATTTTTATGAGAACTGTTATGTCTACGAGAAGTGAAATGATTATGAGAATTATGATGCTTTTGACAATGGTAATACCATTATTTATTGGATTACCAAAAACAAATTGAACGGTTTATTTTTTATTTGTCCATATATTTACATTACGACTCAAGTTTCGTATATCTCTCCCTGCCAATGTTTTCCTTGATATGACAATAAAAAACACTACGGTCTTAGTATAGTCAGTACTTACGTTCAAATGAATTCAGAAAGATGTGAGTATATCAGTACCAATAATCACAAATACACTGAAATGTGATCACTCGACATATTCATTAAGAGAAACTGATTTCATATTCTAGATTTCATCAGTAATATGAAGGAATATTTAAATAATTAAGCGAATGTAAGGCCATAATTTCAAACTTGAACAAAAACATGATTTCATTATTATAGCGAACGAAGAAAGGTTAACATTGAAATATTCGACTAATGTAAGTTGAGAACTGTTGGTTGGAACCCCTAGTACTGTTGTCACGAATTGGGCATATGACACTCATATGGCAGCAGAACTGGTGAGTTTCCAGTAAGCAGACACGTGAGTGGTTCACATAATGTATATGAGCCGCGTCACGACAAAACCAACATAATGGGTTTGCGACCAGCATGGATCCAGACCAGCCTGCGCATCCGCGCAGTCTGATCTAGATCCATGCTGTTCGCTTACAAACTCTATAACAAGTAGAGAAACTGATAGCGAACAGCATGGATCCTGATCAGACTGCGCGAATGCGCAAGCTGGTCTGGATCCATGCTGGTCGCAAACCCATTATGTTGGTTTTGTCGTCACGCGGCTCATATCATTCAACTAAAGGGGACTGTACTGAAATAAGCCTTATGTATGCGTTTCATCAAACACTTACTTAATTAGTACTGTTTAATTAATGCCCTGAATGAAATTGTTGGCGTAAGTTAGATTTGACCTAACATTGACACAAATATGTGGCCAAAATGGATCTCCGCGGGATCACTTTTGTTTATTTCAATACAAAGGTTTATAAAGAGAAAATTGCTGGAAGATAGTGTTAAAGAACGCCCTAAACAAATTATTGATCTATTTTAAGTAATTGTTGACATCCCTAGTATTTATGTCTATTAACTGTCCTATATTTATAGCCTATTGTCAATTATCAACGAAGTTTTTATTGCGCTATAAATTGACAAGTATCCACATTTCTACAAATGTACATAGATAAAACCATGCTTGCGGACATCATGGGCAGAAGTTAAATTGATTTTGCTTTTCAAAAATACTGCTTTAACTATTTTTCAATTTTATATCCTGTCCTAAAAGCTGATACAAATTACTCTGATAATTAGAAATGACCGTTCCGTATATGAAGGTCAAGTTATGAAACTCCTATATTGTTTAACGTTCATGTTTGCTATACAATAATAAAAGTAATTTAGGCCTTTCCAACTTTTCGGACATTTCCGTATTTGGTAATCGGAGATTTTCCGAATTGTCTACTAGATCCAATTTCCTGTAATAATGTTTACATATAAAATTTATAAAGCAAGTCAAAGAAAAAACAATGCAATTTAAGTAGTAATTTTTGCTGACTGTAAAATAATAAAACCGAAATGTTGTCATAAAATTATGCCAAAATATAATAGATACATTATTCTTCAGTAAATATTTGTAGGAAGTTGGGGTTTTCAAGCTGAAAATCCTTGTTAAAACACTTCTATATATTTTTGTATCGTTTTTAAATACATGAATTTACCCTGAGTTTTCGTGAAACAAATATATACTTCGAGATATTTTAAAAAGTAGTCAAAAGGACAGAAGGACAGAGAAAAATGTTGGTGCACGTGAAAGGAGTTGTTGAAGTTTTTATTATTGTTGTTGTTGCTGCTGCTGCTGCTGCTGATGATGATGATGATGACGATGGTGATGGTGGTGGTAACATATTCCAAACCTGTACATGACTAGGAATGATCTAAAATCAAACTTCGATACAACTTAGATAAACGTTCACAATTCTGCATGAATTTTTCTATCACTATAAAAAAGGTCATGAACCCTTTGGATACACGATATACCCTGCGGTATGCGATTGTTATGTTTTTATTTCGTGTTTAGTGATACATTTGTAAACATAAGGCGCGATAAAATACTACTTGATACGCTGTACATTGTTCAAAGTTTGAACATTTTGTAAAGAAAGCTGTATATGGGAATTAAGCAAACAAGATCTGATGCATAAAATAGGCTTATTCGCACCACATCCTTCGGTAAGGTGATTTACTATGACCTATTACAAATGCTAAACGACGCAATAGGATGTACAAGAACAGATCAGAACATTTTTATTTGTTATTGTTGGGTATAAAGTCACACCGGAAAATCATATGATTACATCCCAGCTTTACTGGCCTAGGATGACCTCAGGTGTCCGTTCGTGCATTATTTCAGGCTCGAACGGCACGTAAGTATAACCACCGATAGCCCAAAAAAAGCTCGATAGCTTCCATCCAAAGACCTGATGGGATTTGTTCCCACAGTGTCTTATATGTTTACTAGCAGGGGTGGGGGTCGTGTCTGTGTGACGTAAAAGCAAATCATAAATGAATTTATGTACACCACACGATGTCAGTAT